ACCTATTTATTTCAATTTTCCCAAAGACTGAAACAAATGCTGTTTACTTTTCAAAGTAACTTACTGAGATGGGCAGGTGTGGATCTCATGATAGAGCAGAGGTTTGCTCTCCACTGCAAGGTAGTAACATTAGCTTGTTTAAATGTTATTTACAAGAATTATAAAGTGGTTATTCATCATTTCAAAAGGAGCTCTGATAATATAGTGGGTTATGAGTTGGGCTGCTAACGCAAGGCCAGAAGTTCAAATCTACCAGCTACTCCAAGGAAGACAGATGAGGCTTTCTGCTTCATAAAGATTTACAATTTCAGTTTCAAAGAACTGCACAGGGTCACTATGAATTGGAATCAACTTAATGGCTGTGGGGTTTGGTTTATTAACTCTGTTTGACTATATTAATTAAATTCCTGAACACACTGCTATTCTGTATAAATCCTACAATCCTAAATTTCAAGATTGACATATTTCCCACACACACACCCCGCCATTTTTTTCACACATTGATGTCCTAACTTCAAAAGCCTGCACCTGTACAGATTTTATAAAAATTTAAATGTGTGACTTTTTTTCTCCAAATATTCTCACAGTGGGTCCTTTGTGAAGAAACTAGGCTGACTTTTCATCCTTTGCTCTTTCACTGATGTTACTGGAGGGGAATAAGACGCTACCGCAGCACTTAAGAAACAATCACAATCTTCGTGTGAGTGTGTGCTCAAATTCCTTTAGTCAGCAGTAGGTAGGCACAGGATGATTGCAAGGCTGTCTAGCTATAAAATCAATGTTTTCTCAAGGCATCCTGATTCTTTGTCCCATGTGCTAGCTTACTCTTTTTTAAAAAAAATAGTTTTATTGGCATATACTTCACACATCATACAATTTATCATACAATCATATTAAGAAGATTTGTACAATCATCACTAAAATAAATTACAGAATATTTTCTTCCTGTACTCATCAGCTCTCTATTTCTGCCCATTCCCCCTGCCATTCCCCTGGGATCAATCCAGTTACTGTCTCTATAGATTGACCTACCCCCGATTTCATATACAAAAAAAACATACAAAACACAGACAGGAAGTAAACAAACAAACAAACAAAAGCACACCAATAATGCCTATACAAAGCAGAGAAAACATCAATCAAAAAGATGGAAGACAATATCAAATACTGAAATAACTTTAAAATAGGTAAAAAAGGCTAAGATGTTACATTTGAAACTAACTGCATCTGCCATAATTCACTTTACAGTGCTCTCTGTCTGATAACAAGGCTATTCCAATCCTTCGACTAGGGTCAGAAGGAATTCACTGGAGGCTTAATCCGTGAGGGAATTCTGCAAATGGATTTGGGGCTTCCATTGTCATCCATAGCCTTCTGAAATGTGGGTGTTCACTATTTAAGCTCAGGTACCATTCTCTCCTTGAGATTTGAATTTTATTAGTTACAATCTTTGGATCATACAGGCTGGTCTGCTTCTTCCACGTGGACTCAGTTGATGCCTCACTTAGATGGACGCTTGTTTAAACATAATCCTTTAAGACACCAAGCGATATTCTTTCTGATAGTCATGCACCGCCTAGTTCCTTTGCCACATTTTGCTATAGTACTCATATAATCAGTAGACGCTTCATGAGGGATAACACTGAGTAGGGCCATGTCTTAAGAACTAGCTGCTCCTAGATTGGGGCTAGAATTAAGTGTGAGTCCCCAATCCATTTATATGTCTATGATTTATAGGTCTCTGGTTCACCTTAGAGACATCATTGACATTTTATGATAGAGAACATTATAAATCATTCCCATGGGCATAAGGTAATTCTATTGATAGTGTCACTCACTTAGCCAATTGTAAAGATTTAAAACACTGCTGAAAAAATGAAATTATATAAATATTGATTGGCTTCAGGTCATAGTATATGAATTGTTGACTTGTACAGATTAAACTTTTAAGTGAATGGATACTATTTACACAAAAAATGGGGGTTAGTGATTGAGCAAAGCTTTCAATAGCACTCATTCACAAAAGAAGAACCATGCCTACCAGATCAATAGATATCATGAGAAGGCAAGGAGGGCATGATAATAGTAACTAAATGGTAGTCCCGGGCCACCATTCATCAGGAACCCTGAAGACAAGAAATTCAAACCAAAGTCAACAATTCAGTTCCCTTGGGAGAGAAGTCATCCGCTTCTTCTACACCAGGGGGTTTTAGCGTTTAATCCAAGGGACTATGTCCGTTCCTTGAATCGGCCACAGGTGAGTGTGAGGTCAAGTCCAGTTCAGTTAGTGGGGTTTCCACAAAAGAGTCTTAATGTGGTTAGGAAGGATGTATGTGCCTCAAAAGGAGAGTCTAATGTCCCAGGAGTCTACAGCACACACTGGATCACTGAGGGAGAGAAACGAGGTAAAACACTTCCTAATTAGAAACACAGTCCTATTAAGTATTGTTAAGTGTTTTTGATGCTATTAAGTATTGTTAAGTGTTTTTTCCCAATGAGAGGTTGCACCTCCTGGTTTACCCACCAACAAATATATAATCACCTTCTTCAAGATATACATGCTCCCCACCCCCACCCCAACCCATTTGGACTTGAATGTACAATAAAGATTCTCTTATCACTCTTGCAGGTGTCTCTGGATTTGGGATGACCTTAGCACAATGTTATATGGCAGCAACTGAATGTTCTTCTTATAACCCCTCATCTTGAAAAACTGACCCCAGCTAAGCTGCGTTCTCCTCTGATGAAATGGTTTTTAAGATGTACATATAAAGGGAGTGATGTATGGTTCGTGGCACTAGGCAGGCTCTGTACCTTGTTGCTTGGGAGATTGCCTTAGAAGATTACATGACCTGGGAACAGAAGCCTGCATCATTTTGGTAGTTATCCTTATAATAGTGACCTCATACAAGATTTATCCTTTTGTATGACTAACTTCACTCAGCATAATGGTTTCCAGGTCCATCCATATCATGAGGTCTTTCATAGTTTCAACATTATTTTTAGGGGTGTATAGTATTCCACTTTATATATGTACTAGCATGTCTTTATCCATTCTTCTTTTGATAGGTATTTGGGCTGTTTCTAGTTTTTTGTTGCTGTGGACTGTGCTGCAATGAACATGGGATAGCATCCAATTGTTGGTGCTGTCTTTTATTTTGGGGGGTGGTGGGGTTAAGAACTGGGTCATATGGTATTACTTTTCCCAGTTGTTTTAGGTAGGACCATATTGCTTTTCACGATGGTTGTATACATTTATGAGCCCACCAGCAATGTATAATATTTCCAATCTCTTTTTACTTCTCCAGCTTTTGTTGTTCTGTTGGTTTGTTTGTTTAATCCAGCTATTATTGCAGTTATAATATGATATCTCACTGTTGTTTTGATTTTCAGTTACCAGATGGCTAATGATCATAAGCAGTTCCTCGTGTGTTTGTTAGCCATCTGAATGTTGTCCCGTGTGATTATCTATTCGTGTTCTTTTGGATTATTTTTTTCTTATGAGGTCAGACCCTTGTCTGTTGTATCATTGCTAAAGATTTTTCCCAATCCACGGGCTCTTGTTTTGCTCTTTAATTTAGTCTTTCGATGTGCATGAAGGTTTTATTTTTAAGAGGGCCAGTCATCGATTTTGTCTTCTACTGTGTGTGTTTCATTATATTTGATAGCCTGTGTATGCCCTGTAATAGGGCCCTTAAGTTTGTCCTAATTTTCTCATTGTTGATTCTTATAGCTCTGGGGTCTACATTTATATCTCTAATAGCTCACCATCAACTTTCTCCTTTCTGGTAGTCAAATGTAAAAACTGAGGAGGTAGATGCTTTTAAGATAAAGCCAAACAAAAGTCCTATATATCTGGAAGTATTTTACTTGTTTGTTCAAGAAAACCTGAGCTTGGAAAGTATCAGATAGCACCAGGGAGTGTTGTTGTTATTTGCCATTGACTTGATCCCTGATTCTTAATGACATTATGCACAGTGGATCCAAACTTGCCTGATGCTACACCAGTCTCATGACTGATATGGATCAGACCATTGTGATTCACAAGGTTTTCACTGGCTGATTTTCAGAAGGAGATCAAGAGGCCCTTCTTCTAGTTCATCTTAGTCTGGCTGCTCTACTGAAACCTGTTCAGCATCACAGCAACACACATACTTCAGATGACAGATAGGTGGTGGCTGTGCATTGGCTGAGAATCAAACTGGGATCTACCACTTGGCCATCAGTGCCTCATAAGGCCTGGAGTAGGGTGTGCGCATTTTGGAATCCAGAGTACAATTAGTTATCTAAAAAGTTTGTTATAATCACTGGGAGGAGAAAGGGGTCCGGTAGCAAAGATATGAACCATGGAAGGCAAAATCTACTAAGTATCCATTTCCTTAAAACATACTCCACTTGTTCTTCCCCCCACCTAAACAAACCAGAAGCTCCACAAGCATCACTTACCCCTTGAAGGTTTATGAAGAAGTAATTTTCACTGTGATCCCAGAATTTTAACAACCTATGCCCAGCAACCATTGGAATGCTGGGTAGAAGGCAGGGAAGGCAAAGAAGCAAAAAGACACCTACTCCACTGAATGTCAATGTATTTTACAGTTTTCCAATAGATGGGTTTTCCTTGGGTTACTTTGAGGGAGGTTAAAGAGACATTGATAACAATGGACTAAGTATGAGGGAGCAGATTCAGAAGCCTTTAATAAACAAGTTCCCCAGGCTGCAAGTCCATGTGTATCCCAGAAGCCCTAGGCATTTCATGGATACACGTGGAGCAACTGGAGGTGGTTCACCTGAGGCAGATGGCCTTAACAACCCAATGAGAAAAAGCAGAGGGAGCCTTCCGGCCTCTCCTGTTTAGACAGAATGGGGACAACTGTCTTGGTCTGGGATCAGAGGGTCATTGATCTTCACCCTTTTGTTCAAGCTTCTGGAAGAACCAACTGACTTGTTCCTTCTGTTCTGCAAAACAGACAGGGACACGGACAGACAGACCCACAAAGTACCTGCAGAAGGATCTTGTTCCCGTCATGGTCCTCTGTCTGCCATCGGCCCTCACTGATGGGGCTGCAAGGGTTAGGCAGGAGAGGTACAAGCTCGCCGATGTCCTTGACCCGGAACTCTAAGACAGAGGAGTCGGTTGGGACTGGGGTCTGGTCGGGGGCTAGTCTCTTCAGGGAGAACTGAATGTCCACATCCAGATTGGAGAAGATGGGGAAGATGCAGAAGTCCGCTTTCCTCTGACTGGGGCTTCGCTTGAGAACCAGCTCGTAGAACTTGAGGCTGTCCTGGTAGTTCTCGTGACGACAGTAGATGGTGAAGCGCACGATTTCCTTGCCGTAGTGCACTGGCCGGATTGCCCAGAGCGGTGTCCCGGGTGCCAGCGTGAAGAAGTCCTGGCTGCAGGGTAGGTAGGGCAGGAAGCGGCCCTGCACCCGCTCAGCGTGGTGGAAGTGCCACGGGGGCCGCTGCAGCGTGCTGTGCAGCTGCAGGATGTGCTCCTCTCCGTACTCTTCCTGCAGGAAGAGGACCACCGCCAGGGCCGGCTGCGCAGCCTTGGGGGGCTTCTTCCGCCGGCGAGACGCCTTTCGCTCGGAGACTCGGAACAGCTGGAGGTCTGGGTGGATCCAAGCTAAGACCTTGTCGATGGCCTCCTGCAGGTTCTGGGATTCCCCGGGGTTTGCGATTATGTGGATGCTAACCAGGAAAGGGTCCTGCGCCTCTTCCACAGACAGCTCACCTGGGAACAACAACAAATTGGGACATGAAGGTGTCCAATAATGGCACAGCCAGCCATGCTGATTCCTCAGTAGGGCGACACCATAAACGCTCTGGTTTTCTGAACCCGAGTAAGAATGACTACAGCTCTTCTGAGCTGGGAAAGACTAAAGGACTCTTGCTAGTGCCCATGCTAGTCAGTGCTCCGTAAACCTGTCATATATTTCCTCTGTGTGAGTGAAGGCAGGTCTCTACTGATTTGGACATGCTAAGGGTTGTTAATAATAGATGCTGTAGCCTCATGCAGACACAATTTAGAGATTTCCAGAAGCAAATGCAGTGCCTGAGTAGAGCTTCCGGAGTGAAACAGGTTAGGAAGAAAGACCAGGTACTGTAATAGGCTTCCTAAAATCATCCAGTGAAAACCCCGGGTGTCTCAGAGGTCGAACAAGCAATGGCCCTTGGGGATGGTGCAGGACTGGCAGGGTTTCTTTTTGTGGACGAGGCAGCCCGTGCCACCTTGGGCGATCACAAGAACCTAGTACCAATCAGGGAATCTGCTTACATAGACTCTCATGTGAAGTGTTCAATCATAAAATTCTAGGCAGCAGGCATGAAAGAGCTGTACATCACAGACAATAACTTCACAGTTTAGCTAAGAAGCAGATGCAAAATACTACAGTTTAATCTGATGTAAGCCTATAAGAAACACAATAAAATGCTTAGTAGGAAGGGTTTAGATTTTAAACAAGAGGTGAAAGTTACATGTAGACAATATTATCACTGAATTCCCTTGGATTTCCAATAAAGTACTAATTCACAACAAGACAGCAATGATACTGACTTACAAGACAGCACAGCTGGGCAGCTGTTTCTCTGGTTGTACTGTAGCTGCAAGTACTGGCTTACGTCTTCAAACACTAGACCCTGACTCAGCAGGCTAAGACTTGGGCGCTACAAGAGGCTTTTGCGAGTCCAAGAGGCCAAGTCATGCCTAGTTCTCATTGAGTGGAATGATTTAAACTGTCTCCCTCCATTCCTTTTTTCTCTCTGCCTGAGCATGGTTCCCCAAATTTATGTAAGTTAAACATGAGCACAGTGTTATTTCAATATGCTAGGAAGGAGCTTCAGAGAAAGCTTTTGGGAAGAGGCTGTATGTGAACAGGTCTTGTAGGGCAAACAGTACCTCACTTACAACAACCTAAATTGTGTGTTTGTGGGGGAGGTGTCACTGCAGAGAGACAGAAACTGTTTATGAAGGTGCAGATCTGTGTACAAACACATGTGCAAGGGGGTTGTGAGTCATTTCTGAAATATGGCAACAGAGGCAGCTAGAAGAACGCCTTAGTGCCATGTTGTAGGGGCTTCAGCTCACTGCAGTAGGCGATAAGAGAATAGGAAGTCAAATAAAGGGATGGCAGGATTAAGCTGGGGGTACTTAAGATGGATAAGCAAGTAAGGAGTTAGAAGATTAGTGAAGAGTCCAGACAAGAAACAGTAAAGATGTAAAGACTTGGGTTTTAGCAATGTTTAATAGTTATCACTGATTCTACTTCTTCATCCCAACCTTTTGATCTGGAACAGTTTCTGCATTAAGTTAGATTATACCACGAATAAGACATTTTAGTGATAGCTCAACCAACAGTCAGTCACTCAGGTAAGCCTGGTTCGGGTCAGGTCCCTTATATGTTTGCTTTTATATAGATATGTGATAGGCATGTATTTGAGGCAATCACTCATCTATGCCAAAACACATAGGACATAATAAATGACCGTTGTTGCATAGTGCTGCCTTTAGTTGTTACAAAGCAATATTTACAGGTGCAGAGGACCAGTGTGTGCATGAAGAAAGGTTGATTCACAGTCTATTTAGAAGGTAAATCAATAAGCCAGGGGACCACTTACTTTGTTATCTGATAGATCTTCACTGAAAGTAGAGAATATCAGAAAGCTGTTGACTTGTGTTTTATTGCAAAGACATTTAACTATGTGAATCATAAAAAATTATCATAAGTCAAGGGCTGATGAACCCACAAGCAACACGTCAAATGGCAGGCTCTGACTCCAAAGCCAAATGAATCCAAGGTAGGCAGGCCACGCACAACTCCCGAGACTAATAAGTAGCGCATAGGCTGCAGAGAACCAGAGGTAAGAGGACAAGATAGAGGCAGGATCATGACTCATCAAAAAGAAGCAAGCTTTGCCGTTGTGTCTATTTATATGTAAGAAATCCACACCCACAAGGAAACTTCATTTCAACTGATTGGATGCCCATAACAAGCATCATCCTGGAAATGATTACTTTATCTTAAGTCTCATCATGGGGGATTATTGTTAGGTGCCACCTCGTTGGTTCTGACTCATAGAAACCCTGTGCACATAGAACAAAACCCTTCCCTGTCCGGTGCCAGCTTTACAATTATTCTTATGGTTGAGTCCATTGTTATGACCACTACATCAATTCACCTCTTCCTCTTTTTCACTGTCCCTCTACTTTCCTAAGCAGAATGTCCTTCCGTCAGCATTGGGTCTCTCCTGACAACATGTCCAAAGTACGTAAGAGGACGGCTTCTCATCCCTGCCTCTAAGAAGGATTTTGGCCATACTTCTTCCAAGACTGATTTGCTTCGGCTTTTTTTTTTTTTGGCAGTCCATGGTACTTGCAATATTCTTTGCCAGTCCCACAATTCAAATGCATCAATTCTTCTTAGGTCTTCCTTATTAAACGTTCAACTTTCATATGCATATGAGGCAATGGGAAATACCATGGCTTAGGTCCAGTGAACCCCAGTCATCAAAGTCCCATCCTTGATCCTCAGTACTCGAATTAAGTCTTGTGCAGCAGATTTACCTAATGCGGCATGTCTTTTGATTTCTTTATGGCTGCTTCCATGAGCACTGACTGTAGATCCAAGCAAAATGAAATCCTTGACAACTTCAGTCTTTTATTCATTTATCATGATGTTATACCTACTGATTCAGCTGTGAGGATTTTGGTCTTCTTTACATTGAGTTGTAATCCACACTGAAGGCTGCAATTCTTGATTCTCAGCAGCAAGTGTTTCAAGTCCTCCTCACTTTCAACAAACAAGCTTATATCATCAGCATATTGCAGGTTATTAATAAGCCTTCCTCCAATCCTGATGTCACAAACTCTTCATATAATCCAACTTCTCTGATTATTTCCTTAGCATACAGATTAAATAAATATGGTCAGAAAATACAATGCCAATGCATACCTTTCCTGATTTTAAGCCCTGCACTATTGCCTTGTTACATTTATACAACTGCCTCTTGATCCGTTTACAGGTTCCACATGAGCACAATGAAGTGTTCTGGGATTCCCATTCTTCTCAAGGTTATTCACAGTTTGTTATAATTCACACAATTAAATGCCTTTGCATAATCAGTAAAACACAAGTAAACATCTTTCTAGTATCCTCTGCTTTCAGTCATGATCCATCTGATATCAGCAATAATATCTCTTCTTCAACATCCCTTTCTGAATCTTGCTGTAACCTCTGACAGTTCCCTGACAATGGACTGCTGTAACTATTTTTGGATAATTTTCAGCAAAATTGTACTTGGGTGTGATATGAATGATATTGTCCTATAATTTGAGCATTCTTTGGGGTCACCTTTCTTTGGAATGGGTGCAAATATGGATCTCTTCCTGTCAGTTGACCAGTAGTTGTCTTCCAAATTTCTTAGTATAGATGAGTAAGTGTTTCATCAGCTTGGGAAAATGTTTCCAATTGATATTCCATCAATTCCTGGAGCCTTAGTCCTAGCTAATTCCTCCAGTGCAGCTTGAACTTCTTCCTTCAGCACCTTGGTTCTTGCTCATATACTACCTCCTAAAATGGCGGAATGTCACCTAGTTCTTTTTGGTACAGTGACTCTCTGTATTCTCTGTCCATCTTCTTTGGATGCTTCCTGCATCATTCAATATTTTGTCCATAGAATCTTTCGATATTGCAACTTGAGGCTTGAATTCTTTTTCTTGAGTTCTTTCAGTTGCAGATATGCCAAGCATGTTCTTCCCTTTCGGTTGTCTACTGTCAGGTCTTGGCATGCTTCATTATAATATTTGGCTTTGTCTTCTTGAGCTGTCCTTTGAAAATTTCTATTCAGAGCTTTAACTTCATCATTTATTTCATTGACTTGAACTACTCTATAGTCAAGGGCAAATTTCAGAGTCTCTTCTGGCATCCACTTTGACCTTTTCTTTCTTTCCTATCTTTTTAATGAGCCTTCAGCTTTCTTCACGAAAGATATTCTCGATGTCCTCTCACAGATCAGGTCTTCTGTCATTACTGTCCAATTCAGCTAATCTGCGCTTGAGATATTCTCAAAATTCAGTTGTGATATATACCAGGCTTTATTATGGCTCTTATGGATTTGAATTAATTTTCTTGAGCGCCAACTTGAACTTACATATGAGTAATTGATGGTCTTTTCCATAGTCAGCCCCTGGCCTGGTTTTGGTTGCAATATTGAACTTCTCCATTGTCTAATTCCCCAGATGCAGTCCTTCTGTGCATTCCTTCTTGAGAAGTCCACATGTATAGTTCTGCCTTTAGGATTGTTGAAAAAAAGGTATTTGCTATAAACATGTTGGGTTTTCAAAATTCTACCATATGATTGCCAGCTTCATTTCTATCACCAAGTCCATATTTCCCAACTACTGTTCTTTGTTTCCATCTTTTGCATTCCAATTTCCAATAATTATCAATGCATCTTGATTGCATATTTGATTAATTACCAACTAAATTCATTGGTAGAATTCTTCAATGTCTTTATCACTAGCTTTTGTGGTTGGTGCATTAATATGAACAATAATTGTACTGATTATATTTTCTTGAAAGCATATAGATATAATACTATCAGAGATAGCATTGTACTTCATCACTGATTTTGCAATGTCCTTTTTGACAATGAATGCTATTTTATTCCTCTTGATTGTTATTCCCAGCATAGTAAATCATATGATTTTCTGATTCAAATGCCCAAATACCAGTC